GCAATCATACGCGGGAAGCTAATCCCTACCATGTCCTCCCAAAGGATCTGTTCCAGCCCCGCTGGAGGATCGATTAACTCATTCATACCGAAGGGATAGACGAGACTGTGCTTCGAGAGCCAGTCCGCGACTCTATTCCCTTCTCGGTAAGTATGAATTAAATGAACCATCCAATTGCATGTCATCATTCGACGAATAGCAGATAGCAGCGTCAAATGTGGGTGAACAAGGTCATCTCTTTTATTAATTAGCTCCACAGCAATTAGAGAGTCTGTTTCAAGAACCAGAAGTTGAATACCTTGTTTCTAGGCGTAGGTAAGACCATGAAATATGCCCCATAATTCAGCAAGAAGAGTTGTCCCTGTACCAATCTTAGTACAGAGACCCCCTAGCCAGATCCCATCACAATCTCGAAGGCTACCTCCTGCAGTAGCCATCCCAGGATTCCCTTGAGCCGCTCCATCGGTGTTAATTTTGTACCAACCGCTTAGAGGCGGAGTCCAGCTAATCAGGTGTTCCGATCGATGGCGGTTCACTTGCTCGCTAAGATTGAGTGTAGCTGACTTCCAAGTTTGCCCCCACTCTTTCGCTTTGGTTATCACATAATTGATCCATGACGTTCTTGTGAGAGTCTTGTTCTGAAAGACAGCTTCATTCCCGGTCTTCCAAATATACCAGATGATTAACGAGAAGAAGTCTGCCCATTCACCATGCCAATCTCCCTCACTCTTGTCTCTAATGTTGCCTCTAAACCACCCTTCATGATCAGCTGCAAAGAATAGATCCTGGTCGGCCGCTGGAACAAGTTTCTCCCAAACTTGTCTTGCCACAGTACAATCTCTTAGACAATGTAAGTTCGTCTCGACACCAGCCTGGCAAAGAGGGCATTTATCATCCGTTGTCAAGTGCCGAAATTTCCTAATTCCATTAGTAGAGAGCCTGCCCTTGATCGCCAACCAGACAAACCATCTAACTCATTCTGGACATTGGAGTTTCCACACTCTTTTCCAAAAAGAAGGTGTGGATGTACCTTGCTGAGGTGCAATGCTTCTGAAAGCAGTTTTGGCGCTAAAACGGCCATTAGAGGACGCCTTCCAGAAAAGATTATCCTCCATTGGGGAGAGCGAATCAACCCAATAGCTTCTGATTCTGTCGACAACATCTGATGGTAAGAAGTTCTCGAACTCTTCTGTCTTCCAACCACGTTCCGGGTCCCAAAGATCAGCAACCACCTTGTTTTTAAGCTCTAAGGGAATCTCGTCCACCACCAGCCCTTCAGGAGGTTCCTGCAAAATCCATGAATCCTTCCAAAAGTTAGTTCTTTTCCCATTCTTGACATTATAAGCCATACAATTGCGCAGGAGATTCGTAGTTTAAGAAAAACTACGCCAAGAGTAAGAACATCCCTTTCTTTTGTCAAAGACATCAAGGCCTTCTTTATTCCTGCCGTATTTGCTTCTCAATAACCTTGCCCACAGAGAATCATTCTTATTAATTATTTGCCAGGCCCCTTTAGCTAGCATGGCAATATTAGCAAGTCTCGTTGGTCGAATGCCTATTCCACCCAGATCTCGTGGAAGAGTCATCTGATCCCACGCCACCGGATAAAGCTTGGTCTTCCCTTCCTCCTCTCCCCAGAAAAAAATGCCTATTGATTTTATCAATCGACTTGCAGGTCGTCAAAGGGAGGGCTTCAGTGAATATCGGGTAGACTGCCATTGATGATGTTACTGATTTAACCAAGGTGATCCTTGCTGCAGCTGAGAGATGCTTAGTCTTCCAATTTGCCAATTTGTTTTGAATTCTGATAAGCAAATCTTTGTATCTACTCGGTGAGACTCGTCCATTGATAACATGGAGACCAAGGTATTTCCCCAAGTCAGTTGTGAGATTAATACCCGCACGAGAACTCAGGCGTTGAGCCTTCTCCCGTTGAATGTTTGGGGAAATGTACATGGCTGACTTGTGGAGATTGACTTTTTGACCTGAGCTCGAGCAGAAGTCTTCCAAACAAGCTCTGATGACATCAATTTGCTTGCTCTCTGCTTCTGCAAATAAAATCAAATCATCAGCGAAAAATAAATGCGAAAGCTTTGGTCCATCTTTAGAAAGAGCCAGAGTCTTCCATAATTTATCATTCACAGCCTCTTCAATTATATGTGCCAGCCTCTCCATACACAAAATAAAAAGATAAGGAGAGAGGGGGTCTCCCTGACGAACTCCTCTGGACGGAGTAAAAGTAGATGACAGCTCTCCATTCCAATTAATTCGGATCTGGTTCTGCTCCACACAGCTCATGATTCTTGCAGTCCATGTGCTAGAGAGGCCGACTTCACCAAGGGTGTCTCTAATAAAGTCCCAACGAAGCCGATCTTAAGCCTTTTCAAGGTCTATCTTAACAATAAGGCCTCCCTTCTTCCCTTTCTTTTTCCTGAGTGAATGAAGTGCTTCTTGCAGAATCATAATGATGTCATTGGTTTGCTTCCCGCTAACAAATCCACTCTGAGTCGGGGCTATCAACTTCGGCATCAGACATTTGAGTCTATTAGCAATGGTCCTCGTTATCGCTTTGAGAGCCACATTATTAAGACTAATTGGTCTAAACTGTGCTGGAGTCTCCTGCTGATCCACCTTAGGAATCAGAATCATAGTCGATTGCATAACTTCCTGTGGGAGATCTCCACTCTTAAAAAACTTCACAGCCATGGCCGACAGGTTTTTCCCCACCGTCCAGAATTTCTGATAAAAGATGGCTTGAAATCCATCTGGGCCAGGAGCCGAGAGGGGTTTCATTTCAAAAATCGCCCTATGGAAGTCTGTAATGTCAAAGGGACGGAGAAGAGCCATAAGATCTTCCTGCCTAATCCTCGGAAACTGATTCCTGGGCATAAGATCGATATAGGCCGAAACATCCTGAGTATAGAGTTCTTTGTAAAAAACCAGCACCATGTTCCCCAAGGTAATTGGATCATCGATCCAATCGCCATTGCTATCACGAAGTGCCAGGACCTTGTTTCTGCGACGACGACTGGTTGCCTGTTGATGAAAGTAAGAGGTGTTCTGTTCTCCTAGTTTCACCCAGTGTTCTTTAGCCCTTTGATACCAGGCAACCTCTTCCTGAGCTAGCAGGACATCAAGTTCATGTTCTAACTTGACTTGAAGCTTAAGTAGACTTGGGCTAAACGAGCTAGCTAACCTTTTTGTGATACCCTTGAGCCTTGCCAGCAGACGTCTTTTCCTCTTATTTAAAGATCTGAATACCTCCCTGCTCCAACTTTGAAGTTTAGAAGTAATGTCACTAAGAGATTGTGGGAGGTCGTCATCCCTCTTCCAATTGTCTTTGAAGAAATCTTTGAATTCCTTATGAAGGAGCCAGGCAGCTTCGAATTTAAAGGGCCTCTAAAGCTGACTCGAACTAGTTAAACTTGAAGTGGTAGTAAGGATCGAAAGATGATCAGAGTGTAGCTTTGGGAGGTGCTGAACCACCGTATTAGGAAAAACTATGTTCCACCTGTCATTGCAAAGAGACCTATCCAATCTGCTGGCTTTCCGGGTATGTCTTGAGAGCCCTCTGGACCAAGTATACTTCGCACCGGAATAGCCTAAGTTTGACAGCTCAACCTCATTTATCCAATTGGAGAAACGCTGACATCGTCTGAGAGAGGTAACAGAACAAGTGCCGGATGATTCTTCAGGAAGTCCATAAGCATTAAAATCACCAGTCACCAACCAAGGAAGGTTGCAGTTTCTACTAAAAGCCACAAGATGATCCCAAAGGAGGGGGTGGAAATGATACTGAGGGCTAGCATAAACACCCGTAAGCAAGCAAACTTGCTGATTAACCCCAGTGACTCTGACCGTAAGATGTTGTCTGCTTGCATCAACCAAGGATACTGAGAAGCTGGATGATTTCCAAGCTAGCCATATGCCACTAGCCTTTCCCTCAGCATCCACGCGAAGCACAGAGTCATAACCGAGTTTGCTGCAGACGGTATCAACCCTATCCCCACTAATTTGGGGCTAAAAAACGAACAGAAAATCTGGCATATGAAGGTTTGTAAGAAGCCTAATAGCCCGGATAAATTTCCTGCCACCTGCACCACAGACATTCCAAAACAGAGTTTTAAAATTTAATCGATTAACCATAAAAAAATAAAAGGGGAAAGGATGAAAGAAAGAAAGCAATCGATATCAGGATCATTTTGGATATGCTGTCGGCGTATCGATGTTGATGTTCTGTGGCGTCTCCTGCGGGTTCAAAGACAGAGATCCCGCCATCGCAACATCCTTGCCTCCTACTGACGCGTGTCGAGGGAACTCGCCCGCCTTGAGTTGAGTTTGGAGGAAGAAATTAGCAATCGCTTCCGCTGAGTGAGGAAATTCTGGATGTTTCGCTCTTTGACTCAGTCCCTTCTTCGCCGGACTATGGATTTGCAAGGCTTTCTTAGACTCTTTAAGGGAAATTCCTTGTCGAATGGAGGAAGGGCCTGTAGACTTCTTTGCATAATGTTGCCGGATCGAAGATTCTTCCCGATTAGGATCCTAGTTTTCCTTTTGATTCAAATTGAGTTCCGGCACCTAGATGACTTGAATGGAAGTATTGTTTTGACCAAGGATTGTTCGAATTTGTGGTTCCTGTGACTGGGTCTTCATCTGTTGCTCAATCCAGGAGTTGGAGGAACTTGGCCCAGGGTTATTTGGGCTATCCTTTAGTTCGCCATCCATTGCATTGACCGCTCGCCATTCATGTGTCACTTAGGCTTTCTTGGGCCCTTTACCCCTTTTTTCCTCCATAATCGCCTTCCCCTTCTGATTGATAGAGCTTCCTTTCTTATTTCCTATCGTGACTTTCGACTTTCCTTTTGTTATTGTCGACGAATCAGGCAAGTTTTTTTATTGTGTCCCAGTCTTGAGCGATAAGTGTCTAGTGACCGTTGCCGCTGCTTGATTCTGGGTTTGATTGGCGGCCCCTTTCTTCTTTGGGTGGCGCGTTTTCCGGGTCACCTGCATCCATGGACCATAGCCGGCAGGTGGCTCCGACGTCTCTGTTTCCGGCGGCAGAGTCTTTCCACTATCTCCGACCACAACCAAATCCATAGGTTGAGAAGATTTCTTGGTCGGACAATCCTCTTCTTTGTGCCCAATTCGCCCACATTCATAACAAATGTTGGTAGATTCTCATAGAGCACTGGTTGCCAAAAACCGTCCAGCCGGATGCGAGTAGGCAGGGGTTTGGACATGTCCAATTCCACACCTAATCTAGCAAACTTTCCGCATCCAAGATTCTCCGTATGATAATCTAGCTTGACTGTCCGACCGATGAGGTTTCCCAAGGCAAATAGCACTTCTCTATGATAGAAATGCACCGGTAGTTCTGGCAATTGGACCCATGTGACGACTGATCGGTGAGGCTTGTCGGAGGTACGGAAAGAGGTTGACCAGGGGTGAACGACTAAATAGTGGTCCAATATGACCCAAGGTCCTCCTGCCAAAGCCCTTAGGTAATCCTGATCATCCCCGAGTGTAACCAGAAACGTGTTGTTGTTCAAATCCATTATCTCCTTGGTGCCGGTCGGGCGCCATTTCCATGGGAGTTGAGTGCAAAGATAGGCATAGGAGACCGATCTGCCGAGTAATCTGACCACCAGAATTCTCTTCCACGCTGACATAGACGTTCCTTGAGCCCCGACGACACTTTCAATTCAGGTTCACCATGATAGGAGCTGATTTCCAAATCTTGGGTACCCACAAAGGTCCATTGCGGAGCTTTTACGGGGCTGCTAGGAGTATTCCCTGTGAGAGCAGTTCTGTAGCTGAGTTGGGACGAAACAGGTTGTCGGTTCGGAGAGTTTGCCATCGCCGGCAGGTTCGGATCTTGCTTTTGAGGGTCCGGTGGGCGCCCAGACATCACCGGTGAAGCTGTCGGAGTAGGATCGAGAGAGTTGGTTGAGAGCATTGATCGAGGAAGTTGCCGGTTATCAATGTTTATGCAAACTATTATTAACAAAATAAAATCATCACTATTAACATTTAATAATGATATTAATTGTTATTATTAATAATGACATTAATGGTAGGTGACGCCCCTTTTGATTTCGCCCCGTGGAATTAATTATTAATTTTTATTAATAATTACATTAAATGTAAAAAAATTTATTTCTACCCTTGTAGGTAGTTAGCTGATTAAGTAATCATTACATCTCTCCTCCTCCTATTGACTGACAAGGATTTAAGATCCTCCTTAAGGAATAGAGGTTAAGGACCGGATCTGGCCCGCTCTTTGTCATGGTTCGAACTGCAACTGTCTGCAAGTTGTTATATTCTCTATAGGATAAAAAATGTAATTTTTTAGGTATAACAGGTAGATACTTGTAATTTGTAGCCTTATATACTAGATGATTATTTGATTATTTGTAAAAAAGATGTACATGTAAACTCATTTTCTTGAATAAATTTTTCATCTTTCAGGAACCCTAATTCCTTAATCTAAAATGGTATCAGAGCACATAAGGGCTCATTCTCTTTGAATTTTTTTTTTTTGTCTATTCCAATTCTAGTTAGCTTAATCAATGGCATCTCAGCAAGCATTTGCTCCGATGATTCCTCTAGAGATCAATCTTGACACCAATCATATATTCTTCATCAACCATAATGAGAATTTGGCGATTTACCTCTTGTCGACACTTACGTGCGACGAAAATTACCAATCTTGGGTAAGGTCGATAATAATGGTACTCTTAGCCAAAAACAAGGTCGTCTTTGTCAATAGTGATGCTCCACGGCCACAAGACGGCGATCCTCTACTTCAAGTTTGTGAACAAACAAATCTTATGGTGCTTAGCTGAATCTACGGTGCTCTGGAGCCAACGATTGCTCAGAGCATCGTCTTGTTAGATTCATCTCGGGAGGAGTGGCTCAACCTACAAGAGAGTTTTTTCCAGAAAATTTTGGTGAGGATTTCATATCTTCATGAGGAGATATATGGCTTCAAACAAGGGAGTTTGCAGTCACTAAATATTACACTCGGTTTAAAGTTCTCTAGGACGAGTGTCGATCTTTCACTCACCTGCATAGTTACTTAGAGGCAAATCAGGTGATCCATTTTCTTTGAGGTCTGTAAGATTCTTTTTGCCCTCTAAGGTCTCAGATTCTCAAACAAGATCCATTGTCTTCGATCAACCAATACTTTGCTTAGGTGGTTCAACATGAACGTAAATCTAGGTATGGATCAGTCTCTAGGCTCACACATGTAGGAACTGTACATTTTGACTGATTTATTAATTATTATTAATGTTTTGTTAATACCCATTTTCACTTTTAACGTATTGTATGCAAGTAAGTTAACAAAACAACATCTATGTGCATTAATTTTTTTTAACAATACTTATTTTTATCTAGGAATTGTCAGCTCTGTGGACTACTGGTATAGCTTATAAGATATTTTGCCTCTTCTATCTCCAACTTAGAAAGCAATATCATGTTATATCCATTTCCCATTTTAAGTTTCTAGTATATAATACTACTCATATTCATTTAATTTGTGGCACTATCGATTATGATATGCATTTAGTCCTCGAATAAAACATCTACAAGCAAATATGACCCCTATTACTGTTAATGAACATGCACATTATAGAGTTTGTCCACTTGCAAAACAAAAAAGGTTGTCTTTCATGTCAAGTGAATCTATGTGGTCATTTGGATGGATCATTTGAACGATTTATTTCGTCTCAAATAACTAATAATGAGTTACTTGGGACCAATGCATTCAAAAGCGGAAAAGGGGTAAAATCGAAAAGCGGTGAATCAAAGCGTAAGTTTTTTATGCATCATGTATAATAGTTCAAAATCTGTTAAGTACGACATAAACTATGTAAAATATGAGTGCACAGAGTTTATATAAAAGAATAAACACTTGCAATTCGTATCTAAATTAAAACAAGCTCATAACATCTTCAAAATAACTTCATAAACATAAATTGTAACTCACAAACGAGTTAAGAATCCAAATTCTCACAAACTGGTTTAACCTTACATAATGACATAGGACTTTAATAATCCAAGTTCTCGAAATCAAAGCACACAAAGGTTATAAAGGATAAAAGGAAGCTTTAACCTTAACGTTACTGAAACTCATGGGATCACATCCCCCCCAAACACCCATGAACTCAAACCTATGTGATATACTTTTCGAAAGCATAATCAAAACTCATGTGAGGATACTATGAGCTAACGGCTAGTTGATTTAATGGGGAGGAATGGAACATAAATGAATTTAGTCAGCTGAGAACAGATATCAGCCCGCCATCGGAGAGCGGGTGAGCTAAGAAGAAAAGGCAGCAGCCAAGGGAATGCGACGGGCGACAAAAACTAACATGCTAGGTTGTGGCCCCAGGGAGTGCGATGCGCGGCGAAGAGTGGGACGGGTACGAAGAGTGCAACGGGCAACAGGCAACGGGAACTATCGAGTGCGACGAGCTTGAGCTTCGCTAGAAGTTGGCAGCGATGATTGCGGACTTGTAGCGGCTGCGGAGAAGGATTTCCTCGCGGTGGTGGCGAGGGTGCTCTGCCGAGAAGGACGTTCGTCGAGGAGGTGGGTGCTGCCGTGCTGGAGTGTTGGAGAGTGGAGACGGCGGATTAGGGATTGGTGGAGTGTTTGTCGAGGAGGAAAAGGCGGATAAGGGATTGCAGCCTCGACTCGAGTCCGATATCCACGCCTTTCCCCTTTTTTTTTTTTGCCTGAAGTGCTCAAAACGGCATCGTTTTGGTTTGGTGGAGACAGATTCTTTTCTTGTAAAATTAATCCAACAAGATAGCCCATTGATGGCCCAAGTCTCTCTTGAAAACTCGGCCCACCTTCTTTCCTCAAGAGGCAAGGGATGGACTGGTTAGGTTAAGAGTTGGGCTTTCAATAAAGTTTAATTCAAACCAACTTGGAGGAGAATGGAGCCCAAAAGAGCTTTTCTTCACTGCTAAGTCCACGATAGAATTTATAGAGCCTTCTCTTGAAGACCTCAAGTGGGAGAACAAAGAAGTACAGGAGTGTCACGGAATTGTGCGAGAAGAAAGGGAAGAGTGGGTCGAGTTGATCAACCTTGAGGGCAAGGGATGGGCTGAGTTTCTATCCCACTCTGAAGCTCGTTCGACTGGCCCATCGGAACTCGGCCCAAGGAGAAAATCTGCTGCTCTTGTTGTGCTTCCTGGCCCACTCCATTTGATTCCTCAATAACTTTAGCCCAAATACCTTTTGGCCCAGCCTGATGCTCCCATTCGGCCAGCCCAAAGAACTCCTTCCTCCGCATCAGCCTGCGACTAAGACTCACTCCTCTCGGTCCAGGCACACAAGCGAACCGAACAACTTGGCCCAACTCCAAAGCTTCTTTCTGATCTTCTCGGCCCAGGGTTCGCGGGTCCACTTTCCGCAAACTAGGGTTCGCGAGACAACGAGAACCGCCGCCTCCCCGCTTCTTCTCCAGTGGCTCTCTCTCCGGCTCCTCCTTTCTCGGTGGCAAACCACCCGACGCGGCCGCTGTCTTCTTCCTCTTCTTCGACCTGCCCGTCTCCGCCGCAATCAAAGTCGTCGTCTGCTGTTGCTCCCGCCACCGCCGGTTCGTTGCTGACTCTGTCTTCTTCTTTGACACTCCCTTCTCCGGTGACCTTGTACGAGGCCTTTTGGGGAGGACACCCAAGAGTAAAACCGTGTGGGCTTGGCCCAAAGCGGACAATATTGTACTAATTGAGATCCTCGTTTATGACAAGTGGTATCAGAGCCTGGTTTGGGTTCGGGGCGGTGGACGTCAGTTTGGTGGGACCCTCATTCAGTGACCTCAAGATTTGAGATCTACATCTGGTTTGGTGGATCCAAGAGTGATCCACGTTTGGGTTTGGCGGATCAAAGAGAGTTCCATGTCTGGAAAACTCCTTATAGCGAGAAGCCCATCGATACAAGGTGTCTGGCGGATCAAGATAATCGCTGAGGTGAGGACACGAAGTTCGTGGTCCTTGTCTTGATGGGAGGATTTTTATGGGACAATCCAAGTACCACATCGGTAATACAAGGGAAGGGACCCTTGTATATTAGTGTCCACCAACTCATTTGTATGAGGCCTTTTGGGGAGGACACCCAAGAGTAAAACCGTGTGGGCTTGGCCCAAAGCGGACAATATCGTACTAATTGAGCTCCCCGTTTATGACACTCCTTGGCTTGGAATCGGATAAAAACGGTCTGAAAAAACGATTTTATCTGATTTCATCGATTTTAACGATTTTACAATGCTTTTGACCGATTTTGAGTGAAAAACGATTTTGTTAGTGATTTGAAACGTTTTCCTTCCCTAGAAACTTAAAATCGTACGATTTTACGCTTTAAAGCATGATTTTGACTGCACTGCTTGGGACGAAAGGATGCGTTTGACAATCTTTTTCCTTCTTGTGTTATTTGGGGCAACGATATTTGAGAATAATGCGAAATCGCGTTATAACAAATAACCGGAGATGGCGTTATTTCATAATAACGCACCGACCCACTTATCTGCCCCTTTATGCCCTCTCCTCT